CATTCTAATTTTTAAGGAAGTATTTTCTTCAGTAAGTTTTTGTACTTCCTTTTCCATTTGGCCAGTTTTGCTTTTTAGGGCATTCTTCTCCTCATTGGCTTTTTGGACCTCTTTTGCCATTTGGGTTAGGCTATTTTTTAAGGTGATATTTTCTTCAGCATTTTTTGGGGTCTCCTTTAACATCACTTTCAGTTTTTCCTCTACTTTTCTTACTTGCTTCTCAAAATCCTTCCATGGCCTGGGACCAATTCATATTTTTCTTGGAGGCTTTGGATGTAGGAGCTTTGGCTTTATTGTCTTCTTCTGGTTATATGTTTTGTTCTTCTTTGTCACCAAAATAAGATAATATAATCTGACTCTTTTTGCGCTGCTTGCTCATGATTCCAGCCAATTACTTGAGTTATAAACTCTTTGTTAAGGTAGGGGTCTGTTTCCAGTGTGGAGAATGTACTGTCCCAAGCTTCAGGGGTTTTGTGCAGCTGTTTTCAGAGATACTTCTAGGGACCTGTAAATTTTCAGTTCTTCCAAGGTACTATGATCAAGGGTGAGGTGTTTAATCCTTTCCTGTCCTGTGTTCTGGTCTATGAGTGACCACAAGCACTCTTTTCTGTCTTGGAACTGTGAGGAGGATTTCCTCTCCACTGCCACTATAAGCTCCACCACGTCAGCTCTCCTCCTCGCCCCAGGATTGCCAGCCAGAACTGTGACCCAGATCCAAGCACTGGCAAAGCAAGAGAATCCTGCACCAGCAGAGAGATCCTTGCAATCCCCCTCTGATCAGCCACTAGATTCCCCCTCAGTCTGTGGACTGGAAGCTCAAGAAGCAGTCGCCGCCCCAGGGCCAAGCTCGGAGACTGGAGCTGAGACCACTGTACTCCTCTCTCTCACTGTAGACACAGATTTTTCCCACTGACCTTCTAAACTGTCTTTGGCATTCATGGGTTGAGAGTTCTGGAAACCACCACAGCTGCCTGCGATTCAGCTCTCTGAAGGCAGCTCCAAGTTCGCTGAGGCCTGCGCTCCCACGCCAAACTGTGTTCCTCTGCCCGCCTACGATATACCTTTCTGATCAACAGTCCAGGTTGTCTTGGGCTGGAAATTTGTTTCACTTTGTCTTTTTGTGGGTTCTGCTGCTTTAGAATTTGTTTAGAGCCATTTTTTATAGGTATTTGGAGGGGTTTAGGGGAGAGCTCAAGCAAGTCACTGCTTTTACTCCAACATGTTGGCTCCAATCCTGTCACTTTTCACTGTCCGTCTATCTCCTAATCATGGAATACAGGACCCCCTTTCTCAGGGGTGAGCATTGTGAAGCTCAAATGAGACGATGGATGTAAAGCACTTGGCAAGCCTTAAACTGCCATATAAATACCAGTTATCATTATTATAATTATTATTATCTAGTCACCAGGCCTCCAGTCTGGTGATGACTTCATTCCCTGAGTCTTCCACTGAACTCAAGCATTGTTTATAGAGCAATACAGTGGGGTTCTGAGAAATGGGGAAAGGAGCAAGGAATGTGTACATGCACACTTTTTAAGTTTAATCTGCATTATTAATGCTTTTTTTTTAAAGCCCAGGCAATCAACAAAACGACAAATCAAGCCCTTATTTTGTAACTTGTGAAGATTTCCCAAGTGTAATTACTCATACTGAAAATTTAACCGGTCCAACACATCCCTGTGACCTTACTCCTTAATTTCTCTCCACTGAATTTTTCCTGCTCTCTAAAGCTGATAGCGACCTTGCTCCTTAACCTCCTTCAGTCATAGAAACTTGGGTCTGATAGAATATAAACTTCTCAAGAGCTTTAATTGTTTCTTTAATCTCCAGTGTCTTATACAGCACTCAAACACACAGTAGGTGCTTAATAAATGCTTTCTGATTGATTGAATTAAAGTGCAGATTAGCCAATGACAACAAAGGGATCATTGGTAGGTGTACATACAGTGCAATGTGTTACTAACAAAGAATTGCACAGAGACATGGCATAAAAGCTATCAGGGGTGTGTAACCAGAAAAGCAAGTGGCCAGGTCATGTAGCATAAAAAGGGAGAAACAGATGGAAAGCCCAGATGAGCCACAGTTACCCAAACAATGTCTGGAGATTTAAAGAAAGGGCCTCAGCATGCAGGGATGATCCCCTAAGGAGGAGAAGTGAGATGTGGACAAAGGTCACACAGAATGAGAAAGAGACAGAAGTAACACTCATAATCAAATCACAGAAGCAGGTAAATAAATCATTTACATGCCAGTTTGGTCCTGAAAAGACAAATATTTTTTCTGTTCTCAAAATACTTAGAAAAGCTAGATTTTAGTAATAACTAGTATTTTGTGAAATCTGAACTGTATTAAGTCTTTAAAGCACTTTTAAGCACTTAAAGAACTTTTCCTTTATCACTTAACTAACAATTATCTGTTAATATTTACAAAATCTCTGATTTTAACCACAGTACCATTTAAATGACAAAATCTAGAATACAAAGATAAAAATCTAGAAATATAATCGGCTTGACCAGTTTCTTTTTTAAATAGTTGAATAAAACAGTTGTTTTGTGAAGGTAGTCTTTTCTTCCCTTTCCTAGTAAACATATCTTAGTGACCATCCTAATTGTTGGTGTCAGTAATAACAGAAGGATTCCTTTTCTTGCTTGTCCATTGCCCTAGAAAGTCCTCTGATGTTGGGGGGGTTCTGCTTAATAGAAGAAGAGGAATTGTTTCTAAGGAACTTGGCCCTTAACATAGTCATGTACTATACTGGTTAATAGCACCCCCTGGTGGCTATATTGGTGTCTTGTTTGTGAAGCCAACAAAAATACAGACCTTTTTTTTAACCCCTACTAAACCTAATTTTTACATATATACAGTATAGAAATGAATAGGTATTTGCAGTCACATATGTACACATGATTAACAACATTAGAATTTTGTCTTCAAATATGAATGAAAATTATTTCAATAAGCATTTACTTAAATGCTTACTATGTGCTAAACACTAGAGATCTGAGAAAATCAAATTGATTCTGATTCTATTTTGTAATTGATTCTATTCTATATCACCCCCAGTATGTTTTTAGAATTGCCTAATCCATGTTTCTTTGTCTCTGAGTTAAGTTCAGAAGTTTTTTCCTCTCTGAGCTAAGTTGTCCCATAAATCATCTTAATTCAAAGAAATATATTGTTTCTATACTAACTGCCCATGTACAATTAAGGGAGATCTGTTATCTTTCTAACAAGTGTTGGAAGGTGCAGGTAGGCATCAAAAAGTCTGTTATTTCTGCAACACTGACTGTCCTTCAAGAAAATCTGGACTGTTATCACTGTGACTCTAAATAACAATGCGGGTGGACAGCACCTGCATCCTTTGTTTTTGAAGAAGACTAATGACGTCACATAGGGATTTCTTGAGTTGCACTTGAATTGGATTTAAGTGAGGCAGAGTTGTGAAAAGTTGTCAGCCTTACTTTCTCTTCCAGAGTCATCCAAGTCCAGCGGCAAGACAAAAATCAAGATGCCTGACTGTGGAAGTAGCGATTGTCACTAGCCCTGCATTCCTGCCCATCCAATCACATTGTTTTCCATCATCTGTGATACTTCAGACTTTGTGACCAATCATATTGTTTTATGCTTACTGTTCTTGGTTCTCTTGTACTTCCCAAAACTATATGAAGGCTAGTAAGCCATACCTTGTGGTCTTTTGACTGAGTTAAGAAACTCCTTTTATTTGTCGTCACTAGTCTTAGCAATAAATTAAATGTGCTTGGAACTTTGTGCCTCAAATTACCTTAAATTTCAACCTTGACAGATCAAAGACCAAAAAAAAAAAAAAAAAGCAAGAAAGAAAGAAAAGTAATCCCTGCCTTTGAGGAGCTCATGTTACTGGCAACAATAGGGGAGTTATGAAAGGGTCTATTCTAGAGATACACTGCAATGAAAATAGGTAGATAGTGATGACTAACAGTGATAATTTGTTTCTTTTTTCAGTTTAATTTTATTTTTTTAGTTAATGGTAAGTATTTATTTTTTCCCTCATCTCCTCCCCCTAAAAACCTCCAAAATCTTTGTTTTGCAAAATCAAGCAAAACCAATTTCCACATTGACATATCCAAAAATGTACATCTCATTCTGTACAATGAGTCCATCCCCTCTAGGTCAGACAATGGGGAGAGTGCTTCATGTTCAGTTCTCTGGAATCAGGTTTGGTCAATGTATTGATCAGAGGGCTTAACTCTTTCAAAATTGTTCATTTTTATAATATTATTGGAAAATTTAAGTTATAAAAATCTTCCTTCCAAGACTATGCACTTATGATCAAGCAAACACATCAACCAAATACAATGTGAAGCTATATTGATGAGAATTCACTGAGATAAGTCATGGAGTAATGAAATGAAAGAGAGATCCTTTACTCTTCAAGATGTCTATAATTTACCCAAGGTGAATGTAATGATTATTGGACATTTGGGGACTTTGGGTCTCTTAAAAAGTCCTAGAGCTTACACTGGTATTTTCAGAAGGCTTTTCATTTGGTGTTCTGTGATAAGGTTTGGTTCATTTTCTCCAGGTTGAATAATCTGATGCTATAGCTTGACTTAAGAGTAGGCTAGAGTAGAATGGGGGCAATTATCTTACAAGAAGTATACCTTTGATCTTCTATTATACTCCTTGCTTGTCATTCAAGATTGTTCATTTTGGCCTTCAGGTTTTTGTTCATAAATCATAGATTCGGGGGCAGGTAGGTGGCGCAGTGGAAAGAGCACTGGCCCTGAAGTGAGGAAGACCTGAGTTCAATTCCAACCTCAGACACTTGACATTTACTAGCTGTGTGACCCCGGGCAAGTCACTTAACCCCATTGCCTAGCCAAAAACAAAACAAAAGAAAACAAACAAAAAAAAACATAAATCATAGATCCAACAATTATATGCATATATAAAGGGATATATGTGGGGGGCATGCAGGTATGCATATGTAGATAAATTTTTTAATTATCTTATTTTCCAAGGGCTAAGTAAGCTGATGGAAGCAAGTGAATCTGTTGCTCAGCTATCACAAGATCTTGCAATAAAGGAGAAGGAATTAGAAGTGGCTTCTGTAAAGGCAGATCAAGTGAGTTAACTAAGACAATAACTGTTATGATGTTGCTAACAAATAAAAATACCAAAACTTTTATGAAAAATAGATAGTGCATAAATGCCAAATCCTGGTCATGAAGATCTCTAAGTATTTTATTTACATCAATATATAATCTTAAATATATCATATTCTTCTCTTGACTTGATCTATGAGCTCTTTTTCTTATATGCCTGTAAGTCTCTACTACCTAAATAAAAAAAAAAATACCTAAGGCTATAGGTTTTTTAGTTTTATTTTATTAGGTTCTTCTCCTAGCCTAAAGTCTTCTTCCCTGCTCCCTCCTATTCTAGCTTTTCTTTTCTTTGAGTTCTCTGCCATATTTGACTATTCCTTTTTCTTTTTCTTTTCTTTTTTTTTTGACTACTCCTTTTTCCATGGGAAATGTTGGATCCTTATTGTCTGAGACTTTGAAAGATGAAATCTTTAAAATAAAAGAAACTTTCCTTATTGTTAGACAACCTTAGTTCCACAACTCATTTGGTGAGTTAAAAGTGCGAAGAGGGAACCATAAGATCTGGCTTTGTTTTTAAATGCTGAGGAACTGATTGCAAACCTGTCTGAAGAGAGAGCCAGTGCATCTATTTGACAGCAGAAGGAAGCATTGCAAAGGGGCTGCTGGAACAAAGGGAAGCTGCTTTAGCGGCCTCCCAGAAGGGGCTGTCTTTGCCAGTGGAATGTCCCAGATGGCTTATCTGCCCCCAGCCCCAGCCCCAGCCCCAGCCCAAGCTCGTTCCATCAGTCTCCTCCCATGTGCATCACTTCTTCCACAGAGCCTTGGTCTACTTTTTTTTCAAGGTCAGAGCATATTGTACACCTAGACTCAGCTTTGACTACTTGTTTTAATGGAATTGGACTTTGGCCATTTGCTTTTTAATACATTGATAATACCTTGAAAAAAATGAAATCTTTGAACTTGAAAGAGAAGTAAGATGGTAAGTGTGCTAGATCTAGAGTCAGGACTAGTTGGGCTCCAGTCCTGCCATCTGTATGACCTTGGGTAAATCACTTAACCTCTTTGAGCCTCAGTTTCCTCATCTGCAAGATGTGGATAAGGGGCAATAGAGCATAGTGATAAGAGAGATGGCCTTGGAGACAGGAAAATCCAATTTCAATTCCCATCTCTGGTACATACTGGCTGTATGACCCTGGGCAAGTCACATAACCCCTGACTATCTCAACTAAATGGCTCAATTGCAGAGAACTTGACAATCTCTCAATTGGTAAAGAAAGTTCTTTAGCAGGAGCTTCCTATAGACCAACAAAATCACAGGCTGAGTTTAGAAAGGGAGAGTGGAGGAGGAGGAAGGGTGATATTTTTAGTACCTCCTTCCTCCAAGGTTTGTGGGAAGGCTTAAATGTGAACCATGGAGGCAAAGGGCTCCTGAGCCCAGCCTCCCACCCTCTGCTGGAATGACTCTACAATAGCATGGATGACATGCAGGTGTCATCTAGTAGCTGCTCAGATACTTTCAGTGACAAGAAATTTGCTACTACTTCACTACAAAGTCTATTCTGTTCCTGGACAGGCCTAATGGCTAGAAATTTCTCCTTGCAATGAGCAAAAATGCTATTTCTCTGCAATTTCTACCCATTAGTCATAGTTTTATTCTCTGGATCTGCACAGCATAAATCGGTCCCCCAGATGTTAGCCCTACAAATAATTAAAGACACTTCCAGTGCCAAGATGGCAGAGTGAGGAAGGAACCCTCTGAAGCCCTCCCTAATTCCCCTCCAAAGAACTAGAAAACCACCTCAGAATTGAGCTAGGAGCAGGGAAGCAGCTTACCAGCCCAGCAAGAAAGGTCTGTCTCCCTGAGGTGGGAGGGGAGTGAGGTCCAAGAGCAGCAGCAGCAGCCAGCCTCACAATAAGGGGCCTGCAGCAAGGTTCCAAGCCTGTGGCCAATCCACCAGTGAGGCCCTACCCTTCTGCAAACCATCAGCTCGCTATACAAGTGAGCAGTCTGTGCAGTGCAGCAAGATCCCACACCAGTAACCCTACCTTTAGCACAAGCCACTAGTGAGGCCTTGATCCCCTTGCCCCTGGGTCAGCCAACAGCAAGACCCCAGCTCTGGGACCTACCAGCAGAGAGACTGTTTCTATAGCAACCCAGCAGCAAGGTCCCACCCCTGGAGCAGGCCAGCAGTTAAACCCCACACATAGGGGAGACCAACAGGGAGGCCCCACCCTCCCAGTATAAGCCAGAAGGGAGGCCTACCCTCCAGAGAAAGCAAGCAGCTAAGCCCTGAAACCCAGTGAAAGCCAGCAGTAAAACCCAGAGCCCCAGCATAAAAAGCCTGGGAAGGTGCAGAACCAGAGCACAACTTCTACATAAAAACACCAAATTACAAAAAAGGCAGAAAAAAACGAGCAAAAAAAAAAAAAGAAGTTGACTATAGAAAGTTACTATGGTGATAGGGAGGATCAAGACATGAACTTAGAAGAGGACAATAGTGTCAAAATGGCTACATGTGAAGCCTCAAAGAAAAATGTAATTTAGTCTCAAGCCCAAAAAGAATTCCTGGAAGAGCTTAAAAGGATTTTAAAAAGCAAATTAGAGAAGTAGAAGAAAAACTGGGAAAAGAAATGAGAGTAATGCAAGAGAATCATGAAAAAAAAATAATAAGGGAAAAGATAAAAATTTACTGAGGAAAATAGACTTGGTCAAATGGAAGAGGAAGTACAAAAGCTCACTGAAGAAAATAATTCCTTAAAAATTAGAATTGAACAAGTGGAAACTAATCACTCTATAAGACATCAAGATATGAAAAACCAAAGTAAAAAAAATAGAAGAAAATGTTAAACTTCTCATTGGAAAAACAACTCACCTAAAAAACTGATCCAGGAGAGATAATATAAGAATTACTGGACTACCTGAAAGCCATGATCCTAAAAAAAAAAAAAAAAAAAAAAGTCTGGATGACATCTTTCAAGAAATTATCAAAGAAAACCACCCTGATATATTAGAACCAGAGGGCAAAATAGAAATTGAAAGAATCCGTTGATCACCACCTGAAAGAGATCCCAAAATGAAAACTCCCAGGAACATCAGAGCCAAATTCCAGAGCTCACAGATCAAGGGAAAAGTATTGCAAACAGCGCCCCCCCCACCCCCCAAAAAATCAAATATCATGGAGCTACAGTCAGGATTACACAAGATTTGGCAGCTTCCACATTAAAGAACCAGAGGGCTTGGAAAATGATATACTAGAAGGCAAAGGAGTTAGGATTACAACCAAGAATCATTTACCCAGCAAAACTGAATAATTTTTCAGGGAAAAAAATACGGACATTTAATGAACCAGAGTACTTTCAAGCATTTCTAATTTAAAGACTAGAGCTGAATAAAAAATTGGACCTCCAAATACAAGACTCAAGGGAAATATAAAAAAGATTACAAAAAGAAACAAGATAGAGAAAACATAAGAAATTCAATAAGGTTAAACTGTTTATGTTTCTATATGGCAAGGTAATATTTGTAACTCTTAACAACTTTATTACTATCAGAACAATTAGAAGGAGTATGTGTAGACAGAGGATATGGATATAAGGTTACTTTGATGGGATGATACCCCCCAAAAAACAAAATAAAGGGGTGAGAAAGAAAATTGCACTGTAAGAAAGAGGGGGGGAGATTGAATAAGGTTAATTATCCCACATAAAAGAGGCATGAAAGAGCCATTATATAAATGGAGGAGACGATGGGAGGGTGTCAGGCAAAGCTTAATTAAACTTTACTCTCATCAAAATTGGCTCAAAGAGGGAACAATATGCAAGCTCAGTTGGATATAGAAATCTATGTTACCCTATAAGGAAGTAAAAAGGGATAGAGATAATAGAAGGGGGTATGATAAAAGGGAGGGTGTATTGGGGAAGGCGCTGATCAGAAGTAAACACTTGTGAGTAGGTAAAGGGTAGGGGGATAAAGGAGTAAGGGATAAACAAGCGAAAAATAGTATGGAAGGAAATACACAGTTATCATAACTATAAATGTGAATGGAATGAACTTACCCATAAAATGAAAGCAGTTAGCAGAATGGATTAAAAACCAGAATCCTACAATATGTTGTTTACAAGAAACACATTTGAAGGACAGAGATACACACAGTGTAAAGAAAAGGGACTGGACAGAATCTATTATGCTTCAGCTGAAGCAAAGAAAGCAGGGGTAGCAATCATGATCTCAGACAAAGAAAAAGCAAAAATAGATTTAATTAAAAAGATAAAGAAGGAAACTTACATGCTGAAAGGTACTATAGACAAAGAAGTCACATCAATACTAAATATATATATGCACCAAATGGTATAGCATCTAAATTTTTTTTTTTGGTGAGGCAATCAGGGTTAAGTGACTTGCCCAGGGTCACACAGCTAGTAAGTGTCATGTATCTGAGGCCGAATTTGAACTCAGGTCCTCCTGACTCCAAGGCCAGAGCTCTATCTACTGCGCCACTTACCTGCCCCTTAGCATCTAAATTTTTTAAGAAGTTGGATTAAGCTACAGGAGAAAATAGATAATAAAAATATACTAGTAGGGGGCCTCAACTTTCCCCTCTCAGAAGTAGATAAATTGAACCACAAAATAAACAAGAAAGAAGTGAAGGAAGTGAATAAAATTCTGGAAAAGTTAGATATGATTGATCTCTGGAGAAAACTGAATGGAAATAGGAAGGGATATACCTTTTTCTCAGTAGCATATCACACCTACACAAAAGCTGACCACTTATTAGGACATAAAAACCTCAGAACCAAATGCAGAAGAGCAGAAATAGTAAACACATCCTTTTCAGATCGTAATGCAATAAAAATTACATTCAATAATGGACAATGGAATGAGATCAAAAATTAATTGGAAATTAAATAATCTAATCCTAAAAATCAAGTGGGTCAAAGAACAAATCATAGAAACAATTGATAATTTCATTAAAGAAAATGACAACAATGAGAAAATATACCAAAATTTATGGGATGCAGCCAAAGTGGTACTTAGAGGAAATTTTATATCTCTAATTGTTTACATCAATGACATAAAGAAAAAGCAGATAAATGAATTGGTCATGCAACTAAAAAAGCTAGAAAAAGAAAAAGTAGATAAAGACAACTGTGATATCTCTCCCTCTTTTCTCCATGCTAAACATTTCTAGTAGTTTCAGCCATTCCTTATGTGACATAGTTGAGATCCCCTCACTATATTGATTATTTTCTTCTAGATGTGCGCTGTTTTGACACTGTCCCTCTTAAAATATATCTCAAATAGAGCACAATGTACCATGTGGGCCCTAACCAATACAAAGTATTTTGACACTATCATCTCCCTCATCCTGGAAACCACATTTCTGTTAATACAGTCTAAGGTGACATTAGCTTTTGTGTTAGCTCTGCCCTATTGCTCCTTCATATCTCAGTTTTAGCCTAATAAAAGCTTTTAAGTTTTTAGGCCTAGACCTATTGATAAACTATGTCTCCCATATTTTATATGTGTATAGTTGATTTTTTAAAAGTGTAATTGCAAGACTTTATATTATCCCTTTTAAATTAATCTTATTAGTTTGAGTTCATAATTCTAACTTGTTAAGTTCTCTAATCGTCTTGATTCTGTTGTCCAGTGTAATATGAATATATCCCAGTTTCATGTCATCTGCAGACTTGACTTGCAGGCCTTCTATATCTCTGTCCAAGTCACTGATAAAAATATCAAACAAGACAGAACTTCTTTTCCTTTCCTGGTTTTCTTACCTCTCTGGCTGCTCCTTCGGAGTTTTGATCATTGTCCTCTGTGTCTTCTCTCTCCCTCTTCTTTCCCTCTTTAGCCACCTCTCACTACACTATGCCAGACTCTCTAGCTTCTCTCTTAGGGATATTATCTGTTTTTAGATCTAGCTGTCTTCTATAAGAGGTAAATAGTCCCTCACTATTATTCCAAACATGGTTTCCATGGGTTTTTTTTATGTTTCACAATTTCATAGGTGCTAGCAGAAGTCACTGTAAGTGCCCAAGCATCAGCCAAAGTGAAAAATGAAGTTCAAGAGGTGAAAGACAAAGCCCAAAAAATTGTAGATGAAATTGACAGTGAGAAAGTAAAGGCTGAGTCCAAGCTAGAGGCAGCCAAGCCAGCTTTAGAAGAAGCAGAAGCAGCCCTGAATGTAAGCAAATGTGTAGACTTCAAGAGAAGCTCACATTAACAAAATATTCCCATCATGAAGTTAACCGTGAGATTTTCTCATTCAGGAAACAAAATTGAATTCTTAGTGTGATTTACTGCCTAGCTTGAAATGCATTTCCATTGATTTAATTCTCTCAATTACAAATTAAGCTTTAAAAAGGTCTTGATTTTATGTAACTCGTTATTTTCATGTTCATAAATCAAACTTCTATGGAAACAGGGACAAAAATACAGTGAATTGAACTATTTGTATTAGCTCTTTCTTGGTAATGAAGATTTCTTAGACTCCAGTAGACTTTTAAAATTGGATAGATTTTCTATTGTCTAAGCTACTTTAAGTGTACTTCAAGTACAAAGAGGGCAATTGATTAGATGATTTTTCAAGATTATCTAGTGTGTGTGCCCAAGCTTTCTTGGATATTTGTTGCCCCACTAGTGAGGCTTATATTCTGGTATTTATTATACCTATTTAACAAGGCACAATATTCTCTTGACAGGTGAATTCCTTGAGAAGGTGTTAACGTGACCCATTGATAGCACATTGAGGATGATTGATTAATGAATGGTGACTCATAGTTAGTTCAAATACCTGAGTAACAAGTGTTAAAGGAAAATGCTGTATCAGTGGGGCCACAGATAGCTAGGATAATGCCTGGGTACACACTCTATGGTCCTTTCAAGGTTTATGATCCTGGGAGTTAATAAAAATCACTTCAGAGGATCTTTGAAATGGTTTTAATGTATTCATTCTTTATACAGACTATCAAACCAAATGATATAGCTACAGTCAGGAAGCTTGCAAAACCTCCTCATCTCATTATGAGAATCATGGATTGTTGTCTGTTGTTATTCCAAAAGAAGATTGACCCTGTCACAATGGATCCTGAAAAGCCTTGCTGCAAACCGTCCTGGGGAGAGTCATTGAAAGTGAGTAAAATGCACTAATTCCCTAGGAATAGAAGTTCTGAATTGCCTAGGTTAGGTACCTCTAGCACCCATTCCAATTCTCTGGCACCCTGAAAGCATTCAATCAATGTGTACTGGATGAATGAACAAGGATAGAGGGCCTTTAACAATGTGGTGAAGGCAAACAGAATCTGAATGTCAGACTGGCCTTCTCTTTATATGATTTACCCAATTCTCCCTCCCTCCCCACTTTGAGATCTCCATTGCTTCTGTGCAGAACAGTTCAGTGGTTACCCAGCAGCCTCTGAAGGGTATGTTTACAAGTGGTTTCCAAAGTTGATTATGAATGTTAATCGGGGGGCACATGTACTAGAAGAGGTGGTTGACCTAGAAATAGCAGAATCCAAGCACTATTGGCTCTGCCCCACCCTTTCCCAGGTCTTCAGCCCTTGTCCTGTCCCCAGCCTTCACCTTAGCCCTGCTTCTAATTAGGAACATGTATTATGGGGACATATGCCTGGGTAGTAGTATTAATCAGGAGAGTGGGAAGGCATTTTTCTTTTTCTTCTTCCTCCGCTCCTTATGGAAACCTGAAGAGAGAATCAAAGGTTGCAAATTCTGGCTCATTAACACAGTATCCTTGAACCATCCATTTAGAGCCAGGGTTTAATTTTTTTTTTTAATTCAGAGTAGAAACTAACAGTCTGAAGGGAAAAAAATTGTCCTGTTTTCTCCAAAGTCATAAATCTAATCTCTTTTTGCAGTTGATGAGCGGGGCCGGATTCTTACAGAGTCTACAGCAGTTCCCAAAGGACACTATTAATGAAGAGACAGTAGAGCTATTACAGCCATATTTTAATATGGATGATTATACTTTTGAGAATGGTAAAAAGGTCTGCGGTAATGTTGCTGGTTTGCTGTCTTGGACACTTGCTATGGCAACTTTTTTTGGAATTAACAAGGAGGTGTTGCCTCTGAAGGTAAAGGGCTCTCCCCCTACAGTAAATTGATGTTCAGTAAAATAAATCTCCTGTATCTCTCACTTTAAAAGAGTGGGCACAGTCTAGATTAATAGGTGCAGATATCTCTATTAAAAATTCTGCATTCCTTTTTTCATGCCCTCTTATCTTGTCTTATCCTTTTTACTTCCTTTGCATTATCTCAACCATGCAGAGTGTCACTGACCTCAGGGAGAGTTCAAGTTAGACTGTTGTGGGTGGTGAGCATTTAATCCTCAACAAAAGACAAAATTACATTCCAGAAGAAATCTGCAAAGAATACTATCATTTAATTACCAATATGAGAATTAGTAATTGTTATCAGATCCAGTGTTAAGTTTTATTTTCCTTCAGTGGCAAAGGGACATTTGAGGAGGGATAGGGTATTTCTTACTCTTCTACTGTTAATATAAGTGTGTCATGTATTATTTATAGATATCGCAAATTTTTAACTTGCGAGGTGGGTAGCATGTAATTTATACTATTTCCCACCCACAGTATTTCAGGACTGGACTAAAAACAAAAAACCAAATGAATAAAGAATGTTTAATTTTCAAACTATAATATGCAATTGGATGAACAGCACATGGAAAAATTTGCAATGTTTATAAATTATACAGGGTATACTTAAGCATCTGTAAATGTGCACTGTGAGTATCATAACTTAGCATATAATTTCCCTCATGCAGCCTTTCTAGACTGAGCAGGTGCATCTATCTTAGTCTTCCCTAGCCTGTACTGCATGCCAAAATCAAAATTAGCCATACTGATACATATCTTTAACAGGCAGCATCCAATTTAGTGCTGGTCAAAATATGTCAGTATATTAATGTCTCTCCATACTTGAAATTGAATTCTCTACATAAAGTCTTGGGAGTTTATCAGTGAAAGCCCACTCCAAAGCCAAGAACTCCCAGGTTGTATGTAGCAGGACACATTTCACTGTTTGTGAGCCCTCTATTTGTAAATGCAATAGGTTTTTTGATGACCATCACTTTGTTAGCATAAGACCATTCCCAGGTCTTATAGGGTAGCATCTATATGCACCACAAAGGATTTGCTTAAGTCTGGTTAAGCCATCACTGGGGCTATCAGATATGAGGCAGTTGATAAAATCTTTGCCTGTTCCCATTTCTCATCATTACCAGTCTCCAGATGATATGATGGGATCTAACCAGGCCGACCTTTCTTAGGAGGCAGCTAAGTGTTGTGGTAGGTGGAGAGCTGGACCTAATGTCATAGAATTCTATTTCTGACTTTTATAATAGTCATTTATGTACATGTATCACCCCACTCTTGGATTATGTCTCCTTACGGACAAGGACTGATTGTCCTTTTTGTATTCCCAATGTCTTGACCAATACTAGGTGCTTAAATATATTTGTTAATTTGAAAAATAAAAAAGCTTAAAATACATAAAGGCATAGCTTTATATATGGATCATCCTCCTATTCATTAATTCACTAGTAAATTTTAAAGTATTCTTACAGATAATAAAATGTTCTATTACTAATAAAATAGCTGAGGCAGCATACTGTCATGGAAAGAGCCCTGAGCCAAAATTAAAATACCTTGGTCCTTGCCCTGCCTTGTGACCTTGGGAAAAACATCTTACCTCCACAGGTTTCGGTTTCAGTTTCTTTTTCTATAAAATGAAGGGGTTAGACTAGATCATCTCTCTTCTACTATTCTAATATTCTTGGTTATTGCTTAACAATTACATATATTGAAAGAGTTAATGTTGAATATTGAAAACTAACAGCTATTCAGTAATACTAATCATGTATTCTTCATTGTAAGGCTAATTTGGCAAAGCAAGAAGGGCGCTTGGCAGTGGCTAATGCTGAATTAGGGAAGGCTCAGGCATTGCTGGATGAAAAGCAAGCTGAGTTAGATAAAGTGCAAGCAAAATTTGATGCAGCCATGAATGAGAAAATGGTAAGTTAAACTTTATATGTAAGATTATGAGAGTAGGACCACATAATGAAATTGTGTTCAATTATTAATACTGTATGTATCATTTAACCTAAATAAAAATCAAATGTTCCAAAACAAAGTTACAAGTCTTTAAGGGAAATACATAATAGTAAATGTACTCATTCATTGGTTATGACACATAGACTAGGACCTAAAACACTAATTTCTTTAAATGTAAGTATATTTCTTTAAGAGAGAAACATCAAATTCTTAATTATTTATAGTAACTTGACTATAAAGTAAATATGAATTGATGAGGTATCCTTTTATCAAAAGATAATTTTTATAAAAAATATGTATTTTATTCATTTAAATCTAATTTTTAAAATACTGAAAACAGTTGATGAAATACTGCCATGATTGATGTGAATGTCTGATTCTCCTTCATTAAATTGTTTCCTTGAACTTTCATGGAAGCAAATATTAAAATATGATGTTAATCAATGATAGCATTCAGTATTTAAGATGTTAGTTGAGATGCTCAGTTTTAGGACTATTTTATAAATGGAGGAAGTCTTTCTGAACTTTGTGTAAAAAATAAATCTGTTGGGTGTTTGATTAACCCTATTTGAAACTTCCTCAAGACCTTATCCATTTCTGGATTTAGGACTTGTTGAATGATGCAGAATCATGCCGGAGAAAGATGCAGGCAGCATCAGCCCTTATCGATGGACTGAGTGGAGAAAAAGTCAGATGGACTCAGCAAAGCAAAGAATTCAAAGCTCAGATTAACAGGTAGATATTTTGATGTCTTGCTCTTTTTTGTAGGAACAAAAGCATCAGACAGACAGCTTTTTGTAAAACATATATCTTTTCCCATGATGTGCTTTTCCCCTCAGTTTTTCTTTTTGTGATTAATTTCACTTTTGCCTCAGTTCATATTAACAGTCCACATGAAGATATTTTTCTTTCTATTTATGAATCATTTATATAGTTGGGTCATTTCTCCATGTTATATATCCACATTGATAGTTATTCCCAGTGGTCTTTTGGCCTCTGGTGATCTTTGTGCTGAGAGGAAACACCTCTGTTAACAGATAATGATATTTCCAGAAAACTGAGAGGAAAAGGAGAAATGAAGGAAAGGAGGGAAGTGATTCAGTGTTGATCAGGGATTGTTAACATTCTTTGGGTCATGGATCCCTTTGTCAATCTGTTGAAGTCTACAGACTACTTATAAGAATTTTTTTAAAATTCATGATTGAAGAAAATGCTAAATTTCATTTACAGGTGTGTGAAAATAAAGATGTTATATTTTTTCTCATCCAAGTTCATGAACTTCCCCGAAATCAGACCACTGGGGCTTTGTAGATTTCCAGTTATAAACCCTTATTCTAGATCAGGAATCTGAAAAAGTTTAGAGCAGAGAAGGGCAAGGAGAAAGAATAGCAAGAATAGAACATCTAATTTTCTTCTTGAACCATTTGACTGATCAAGACTATCCAAAGAGACTGTGCAGCACAATCTAGATTGGCTTTGTGTGGGAGAGTACAATAATCCATAGCCTAGAGCAGGAAATAGTCCATGTCCCCTTTTATGTTCTGATTGTTATGTGATGTTATGTTCCCTTTTAGGCTATCTTCCTCCACCCTTTTGCACAGTGCTCTTCAGTGAGCATCAACAATGTATTATATACTACGTGGATTGGGACAGAATTTCTGTCCTGAAAGAAGTACAAAGGATAAAGTAAAATGTAAATTACTTGAAGCAGGCACTGTTATCTTTGTTTCCCAAGAGCCTAACAGTGCCTGACACATAATAGGTGCTTAGTAAATGCTTATTAAATTGAGTTACATTTAACCTCAAAACATAAACTGTTGGGGAAAAATCATTTGACAGAATTGCTGGGAAGACTGGAAAGCAATTTGGCAAAAATTTAGTTTAAACTCACATCTTAAAACATCTACCAGATTTAGCTCAAAATGGATCTGCAACCTAATATTAAAGGTCACACCATTTAAAAAAAGCAGATAACTAGATCAGATATATTTCACAGATATGGCTAGCCACATAAGGGAGAAAATCAGTCACAAAAACTAAATGGTAAAATAGATAAAGCTTTTAGTTTATTAAAGAATATGAACAAACAGTTCTCGAAAGATGAACTATTAACTATTTACTATTTGCAAACTATTAACCATTTGAAAAATTGCTCCCAAGTCACTTATAATAAGGGAAATGTAAATCAAAATATTTCTGAAGTTTTATGTTGTACCTAGTTAGTTGATAAAGAATGACATAAGATGGAAATAGTCAATGTTGAAGGAATTGTGCAAAGGCACTCACACTAATACACCATTGACAGAGCTGTGAATTGGTCCAACCCTTCTGAAAAGTAGTTTGGAATTGTACTAAGAAAGTGACTAAAATGTCTATACCCTTTGATCCAGAGATCCTCCTGATGGGGATATATCTCATGGAGGTCAAAGATAGAAATGAAAGGCCTAATACACAAAAAAATATTTATAGCAGAACTTTTTTATGGGAGTAAAGGATTGAAAAGATAGATGTTAATTGGTTAGGGAATAGCTCAACAAATTGTGGTACATGAATGTAATGGTCATGCACAATAAGAAACAATGTATATAAAAAGTTCAGAAAATCAGAGGAAGACATAGGAACTGATTCAGAGTGAAGTAAGCAAATCAAGATAAGCAAAACCAGAAAAACAGTATACACAGTGACTACAGCAATATAAATGGGAAGAATAACAACTAAAAAAACCCAACTTCTATAATTAAATTATGACAATTGTTTGTCCCTGAAGAAGAATTGAAAATAATGTAATTCCCTCCCTCCATTGGAGAAGTGGAAAACTATATCTATGGAACACTAAATATACTGGAAGCTTTCATAACTCAGTTGATAGGTTGTTAAACACTCAACTGTTTTTCTTTTTCTTTTTTTTTTGCATTTGTTAAACATTTTTTTTCTTAAGAAGGAGTTTTACCAAATTATTTTTATGATACAAATATGGTGCTGATACCAAAATCAAGAAGAGTCAAAACAGAGAAAGAAAATTATAGACCAATTTCTCTAATAAATATAGATGTAAAAATTTTAATAAAATGTTAGCAAATAGATTACAGCAACTTATCACAAGAATAATACACTATGACCAGGTAGGATTTATACCAGGAATGCAGGACTGGTTCAATATTAGGAAAACTATCAATATAATTGATGATATCAACACCAAAACTAACAGAAACCACATGATCATCTCAATAGATGTAGAAAAAGCTTTTGACAAAATACAACAACCATTGCTATTAAAAACACTAGAGAGCACAGGAATAAATGGAGTCTTCCTTAAAATAATAAATAGCATCTACCTAAAACCTTCAGCAAGCATCATATGTAATGGGGACAAGTTAGAGGCATTTCCAGTAAGATCGGGGGTGAAACAAGGATGACCAATATCACCACTGTTGTTCAATATCATACTGGAAATATTAGCTTTACCAATAAGAGAAGAAAAAGAAATTGAAGGTATTAGCATAGGCAAAGAAGAAACAAAGCTATCACTCTTTGTAGATGACATGATGATATACTTAGAGAATCCTAGAGAATCAAGTAAAAAACTACTTGAAATAATAAACAACTTTAGCAAATTTGCAGGCTATAAAATAAACCCACATAAATCATTGGCATTTCTATATATTACCAACAAAGCCCAACAGCAAGAGATAGAAAGAGAAATTCCATTTAAACTCACTGTAGACATTATAAAATATTTAGGAGTCTACCTCCTGAAACAAACCCAGGAACTCTATGAACACAATTACAAAACACTTTTCACACAAAGTCAGATCTAAATAATTGGAAAAATATCAGTTGCTCATGGGTAGGCTGAGCTAATATAATAAAAATGACAATTCTACCTAAGCTAATTTACTTATTCAGTACCATATCAATCAAACTACCAAAAATTATTTTATAGAGTTAGAAAAAAGAATACAGGATTCATTTGGAAGAATAAAAGGCCCGGAACATTAAGGGAATTAATGAAAAGAAATGCAGGGGAAGGTGGCCTAGCCATACCAGATGTTAAATTGTATTATAAAGCAGCAATCATCAAAACTGCTTGGTACTGGTTAAGAAAGAGAGTGGTGGATCAGTGGAATAGGTTAAGTGTACAGGACACAGTAGTCAATGACTATGGTAATCTATTATTTCATAAAGCCAAAGACCCCAGCTTCTGGGATAAGAACCCATTCTTTGAAAAAAACTGCTGGGAAAGCTGGAAAAGAGTATGGCAGAAACTAGGCATTGACCAAAATCTCACACTATATACCAAAATAAAGTCAAAATGGGTTCATGATTTAGATATAAAGGCTGATACTATAAGCAAACTGGAAGAACATGGAATAGTTTACCTATCAGATTTATGGAAAACAGAAGAATTCATGACCAAACAGGAGATAGAGAACATTATGAAAAGCAAAATGGATAACTTTGATTACATTAAATTGAAAAGTTTTTGCACAAACAAAGCCAATACAACTAAGATTAGAAGGAAGGTAGAAAATTGGGAAAGAATTTTTACAACCAGTCTCTCTGATAAGGGCATTATTTCTAAAATATATAGAGAATTAAGTCAAATTTATAAAAATACAAGTCATTCCCCAATTGATAAATGATCAAAAGATATAAATAGGTAGTTCTCAGATGAAGAAATTAAAGTTATCTATAGTCATATGAAAAAATGCTCTAAATCACTGTTGATTAGAGAAATGCAAATCAAAACAACTCTGAGGTACCACATCACATCTGTCAGATTGGCCAAGATGACAAAACAAGAAAATGATAAATGTTGGAGAAGATGTGGGAAAATTGGAACACTAATGCATTGTTGGTGGAGTTGTGAAATGGTCCAACCATTTTGGAGAGCAATTTGGAACTATGCCTAAAGGGCTATCAAAATGTGCATATCCTTTGACCCAGCAATAGCACTTCTAGGACTGTATCCCAAAGAGATCATACAAATGGGAAAAGGACCCATATGTACAAAAATATTTATAGCAGCTCTTTTTGTGGTGGCAAAGAATTGGAAATTGAGAGGATGCCCATCAATTGGGGAATGGCTGAACAAGTTGTGGTATATGAATGTAATGGAATACTATTGTGCTATAAGAAATGATGAGCAGACTGACTTCAGAAAAACCTGGAAAGACTTGTATGGTCTGATGTCGAGTGAAATGAGCAGAACCAAGAGAACGTTGTATACAATAACAGCCACGTTGCATGATGACTAATATTGATAAACTTAACCCTTTCCAGCAATACAAGGATCTAAGATATCTCCAAAGGCCTCATGATGGAAAATGCTATCCACATCCAAAGAAAGAATTATGGAGTTTGAATGCAGATCGAAGCATAGTATTTGCTATTTTTTTTCTTCTGTTGAGTTTTGTTTCCTCTCTCTGGTGGTTCTTCCTATTGGTTCTAACTCTTACTTATAACATCACTAATATGAAAATATGTTTAATAGGAATGTAAATTTTTTTTCTTAGAAGGGATGGATTCCTGGAAAGGTGACCAGGGGAGGGATAAATCCAGAAATGAAGGTAATATAAAAATGAAAAATAGCAATACAAATTTAAAGTACGTAAATGTAATTGAATTACAAATGTAACATAATATCATACAATATCTTAGTTTGTTAGAAGGTGAATCTCCATTCACTGTGTAGCTTTGTGTTTCCTTTAATCTACATAATACATCTTAGTATCATTTATTTATACACGTGTTTTTTCTACATAGACTTGTAGGAGATGTGCTGCTGTGTACTGGTTTCCTATCCTACCTTGGTCCTTTCAATCAGACCTTCAGGATTCTTTTGCTTAAAGAACAATGGGAAGTAGAGATGAGAATTCGGAAAATTCCATTCACTGAAAACTTAAACTTGATTTCCATGTTGGTGGATCCTCCAACAGTAAGTTTTAGTATCCTCATCATCTCTTTTGTATTTCAATTTATTTCTTAGGTTTTTATCTTATAGAATTGAGAATATAATAATAACATACTACTTATAATTTTATAGCATTTCATGGTTACAAAGTGCTTTCACATACATCATCTTATTTGACCTTCACAATAGCCTGTGAGATAGATGATGCATATGTTAACACCCCCCATCTTCATGTCTTTTCATGTGGCACAGGCCATTTCCCATACTTGGAATGCCTTTCCTCCTCATCTTTATCTCATTCTCAAGAAACAGTTCAAACATCATCTTCTATGCCAAGTCTTTCCTGCTCTCCTCAAATGCAAGTGTCCTCTCTCCTTATCTGCCTGGTGGTATTTAACTTTATTGTACTTATTGGTTTTTATTCTCTTCATATTTATTCTATATATACTTATATTTACACATGTTTATCTATATCTATGGACATATTTGTGTGTGTGTGTGTGTATTTGTCTCCTAGCTGGAAAATAAGCTTGAGATTTGGGACTGCTTCATTCATTTTATTTTTATCCCCAGGGCCTAGCACTGTCAAGGCACCACCATCCTTTCAGTCACTTAGGTTCACATCCCTAGAATTCATCCTCAACTCTTCACTCTTCCTCATCCCCTTTTTCAAATCAGCTTCTGGTGATCCAGTGTTACTAAATATTTTACATCTGTTAGCTTCCCTACACTTACTTGGCTATCCCCTTTCCCACATTTAAGGCTCTCATCCCCACTCCCTTGTAGCTTTTGTACTAGGAACAAAATCTCCCAGAGGATCAGTTGTCAATTGCTCCCATTTGGGTAAAAAAAAAAAAAAGATTTTTCTATAATCTTTAGCATCCAGAGTTACCCTGCTTGTCAGTGTAACTCAGGAAGCTTAAGAGTTCTCTGTGAGCACTCTGTGCTAGGTGTAATAGTCCCAACTCCCTCACCTTGCATTGGTCTTCTTCCTATATTGCTAGCACTTTAGTCCTGGAGCAGAATCTATTGGTCTTGTCCAAAGGGAAAAGCACCTTCTACCTGCTGTCAGAGGTATTCAAAAGCAAATGGCATGCAGTAAGGTAAGCAAACTGTTCCTACTTCATCATCATCATCTCTCTGCAATTTCTTAGGAAAACTCATGCAGTCTTCCACAACTTCTACATAGACATCTCTTTCAGTTGGTAGGGAATCAGGGGAAAGCATAGCTACATACTCCCTACTACACTTCCTTGAGGTAAGATGTAATTAAGTGCTTTGTTTCCTGCCTCTACATTCTCTGACTTTTACAGATGATGCCTTTTTCCTCTAAGTTTAGCTTTATCTCCTGATTCTGAGAACAATCCTATCCCTAGGCAGGATGAACATGAGAGTCCAGGTCTGTAGCTGACCAGCTTAGCATCAGATCTGTCTCTTTCTATGGCTTCTGTTCTGATCTTGGCACTCAGGAGTCCTCTACTCTCCCTGCCTTCAGGGTCCCTGAATTTTGTTCCCAAATGCCTTTTGCTAGACCTTCAAGATACTAATTAGCTACCTGCCTAGACCTCTGCCATTTGCTTACCATTTGTATCTATTGAGTTTTTGCCCCACCTTACTTGAAGAGACAACACATCCTGGATTTTAAAATTGGTTTGGTCTGTTGACTAACACCTTGAATAATCAAACTCCAATCTCACTCCATTGTTTTAATACTTAGCCATTGCTAGATGCTAAAGGACTACATGATCTACTAAGCAGCTTGGTTTTGTCTAGTCTGGCCCACAGTGCTCCTTCGTGCATCTTAGTTCTGAGAAACAACACTTGGGAAGAGCTTCAACTATATTCCTTCTCTTTGTCTAGTCTTACATCCATAAAGTGGGAACAACAAGAAATATGGAAGCTGGTAGAAGAATATGTTTCCCTTTAGAAAGATTTATTTTGTCAACAGATTTTCAGAAATTCATCTATTCTTAGAAGTGACACTCATAATGTTCCAATTAGTCCCTTAGTACCTTGAAAGAGTAAATGAAACTCTCAAAAGACCTAACTTTCTTCAAGGAGAAAGCTTTTCCACTGGGAAGATCAGGCTCAATATATACTCAAATTCCTTCATTTTGCCATAAGATAAAGATACTGTCATCATCACACCACAATGTCTTCTTTAAGGGCCTAATTGATAGAGCAGATTTGAAATGTGAGAATACTCTGGGGAAAGATAAATGTTATTCTGAGGTGTTTGAGAAAAGGATCTTGCAATTACTATTTTTAAAAAAAAATCATGTTTTTCAGTTCATATGTACAGATTGACTTTTTTCAAAGCACTGAATGTAATAGTTTATAAGAGAGAAAATTCATTGGATTATTCTGCTTTTTAAAAAGCCTTTAAAATTGATAGTGTTATTTTTATTACTAGCAATAATTTTGAAATACTACCTACACACCCTAGTAATTTGATCTAGTTAAAACTAACTGCTGGATCCTAGGCTAATGTTCTGTTTTCTCTGATGTAGATTGGTGAATGGGGACTGCAGGGACTGCCTGGAGATGACCTCTCAATTCAAAATGGTATCATTGTAACTAAAGCGACTCGATATCCACTGTTGATAGACCCACAAACCCAAGGCAAAACTTGGATTAAATCAAAAGAAAAAGACTTTGATTTACAGGTAGGGTTCAAGAAAATGGAATGTTGATTTTCCCCAAAAATCTAGACTTTTTATTGAATATACCTTCCCTAGATCTGCCACCTTCAGCAGTTTCAGCATTCAAGAGATAAATCTTTTCTTGACATTACCTTTATGTAGTACTTCACTGGTTTACAAGTACTCACACACATGATTTAATTTGAGCCTTATGATAACTCGGGGAAATAGGACAGATTTATTATTTCTGTTCTACAGAGCCTATAGAGGAAACTGAGGCTCAAAGAACTTGTCAGTGCTCTTACCTGCCTGGCTTCCCAGAGAGGAGAGACCATCCAATTACTTCTACCCAAGAGGGATAAGAGCAAAGAGATACAGTCATCAGCAGGGCTGTTCCTCTTCTCAAAGGAATAGAAATTCCCACCTTTTCACCCTAGAAGAGATACAATGGGAGCTAGCAATTGGATTCCATCTTTCTCTGAGTAGCATCTCCTCTTCACTGACCACATCATTTTCAAAGAGTTAATATCCCAGCCTAGACCCTAACTGGTACCATGACATTTAGGAAGAGAATAAGGATCAAGTGAAGGAAACAAGAGAAGGCATATTAAGAAAAATATTAAAAATATTAAAAGTTACCTAGCTTTTACAAAGATTAAACTGTGATGTCAACTTCATTAATGTGTTATAGGTAACTGAATGATAATAGTGTTTATTATTATTGTCATTTATATAGCACTTTAAGGTTTGTATAGTGTTTTGCATATGATATCTCATTTGTTTTTCACAATATTCCTGTGAAGTAGGTACTATTATTATCCTCATTTTACAGATGAAGAGACTGGGGCTGGGAGAGTTTAAGGGACTTATCCAGAGTAACAGAGCTAATAAGTGTCTGAGACCATATTTGAACTCAGGCCCTCCTAATTCTACCTTCAGCACTCTTATCAACCACAACATATAGCTGCCCCAAACAGTGGGTATTAACAAACATTATCCTGATTTCAGGTGATGCCCCAGTCATTGTGGGTTCAAATCCTCCTCTCGGGCTTTGAATTTTTAAAGGCAATTTAGTAATGTTTGTAAAGGTGGCCATTGTACTCTCATAAAATACCCATGGTGGCCTAGCCAACAGTGTCTCTTCCCTGGCTCAACAAGGACAAATAGCACTTGGACATAGCATCCTCCACTCAGCTATCAAAGTGATCACCTCAAAAGTCAGGTCTGACCATGTCAACCCCTGCCCCCCCCCACCCAATAAACTCCAGTGGTTCCCTGTTGCCTCCAGGATCAAATATAAAATGTTCTGTTTGGCATTCAAAGCCCTTAATAACCTGGCCTCCTCCTGCCTTTCCAGTATTCTTACATGCCCCCTTCCCTGCCCCTCACATCTCCCACTGTACTCTACTATCTAATGACACTGGTTTCCTTGCTTTTCCTTGAACATCTGACTCCAGGCACTTTCACAAACTGTCTTCAATGCCTGGAATACTCTCCTTCCTCATCTCTGCCTCCTGGCTTCCCTAGCTTCCTTCAAATCTCAGCTAAACTCCCATCTTCTACAGCAAACCTTTCCTTATCTTTCTTAATTTTAGTTCCTTCCCTCCATTGGTTATTTCCAATTTATCCCATATATAGCTTGTATGTTGTCTCTCATTTGACTGTGAGTTCTTTGAGAACAAGGACTATCTTTTCCTTTTTTGTGTCCTCCTTGCTTAACACAGTGTCTGGCACAGAGTAGGCACTTAATAATATTTATTGACTAACTTAGACACTCACCACAGCTGTTACCTAGCTCGAAACCCCAAGGTGGAAAGTTCTCAAGGTAGAGAATTTGGTGGTAAGACCTCCTAGATAGAGAAAGGCATTTCCTGAAACAGTATATTCCTTGGAGAAAGAAGAGAATTGCCCACACAGTTCCTGAGCAGTATATTCATTCCTTAAAAAGCAAAGCCAGTGAGTTATTTAGACCATGCAAACTCCAATGTAAAGAGGATAGTTTGTTCAGCAACCTTGAAGTACATTTCCCTTCTGCAGGGAATCCGTACCATAGGGTAATACCATGAGTCTTGGAGGGAGTGTATAATGACCCTGTAGGAAGGCTAGGAATCCTCTAGGATGTCAAAGATTTGCCACAACAGCAACCTCAAGTTCATTTCCCTTCTGAGGGAACTGATGGGCTATATAAGAACTTTATGTATTTAAGACTCTTTTGAGTCCTTTCTATCTTCTTCATTCTCTGTATGATGAAATAAAGACAGTGCGGATGGTGTCTTAGCGCTGAATATCCTGATGTCAAATCTATCATAGAAGTCTCAGACCAGAACCACTGGCAGCTCCCTCACTTCATTAGGATCACAACCAACACATCTAAAGCAACTGAGAAAGGGCCGATGCTACCTTTGAGTGCCTGTATGAAAACTGAGTTGAATTGAGATTCCTGTCATTGCTTTAAAAATCCAATGTACTGTTCTATACCATATGCAACCAAATAATTATCATGAGGCCTAACATTGCACCTACAATAGGAAGAAATATGGCTTCATCCTGCCTTCTATGAATTTTAAGGAAGCCATGACATTCTCATTGTTTCTGCAAAAACGCAACTCACCACCTTTTGTAAACTACATTCTATGTTTCCTTTCAACAAACAAATATTTATTTAAGCACTATAGCCTCTCTAGATTACTTTCTTAGTAAAATGTGTGTTTCTAAATGCAGATTTATTTTCCTTACAAATCATTTGGTTTTCACTTAAGATTTGGTATAAGTTCTTATGCTGTTTTTATATTAATGAATAATTTATTTTAAGGTGACATCTCTGAATCATAAATATTTCCGAACACACTTAGAGGACGCCCTTTCATTGGGACGACCCTTACTCATTGAGGATATACGTGAAGAGCTGGATCCAGCTTTGGATAATGTATTAGAGAAGAATTTCATTAAAGCAGGAACCACTTACAAGGTTAGTTCCTAAGAAAGAACAATGGCGACATCTACTTATCTTTCAGAGTATAGCAATGAAAAAAAAGAGCCTTTTCTCTTATATTTGGGTACAGAATACATTTAAAATGTGCACGTTTCAAATTGGTGTTCAGTAGTTCCTATTATTCAAATGGTAATATTACAGGTAAACTTGGAGCCTCACACATAGTAGATATTTAATAAATGTTTGTTGAATTGAATTAAAAATTCAAACCTACCAGTTAGAGTTAGATTGTTGTTTTGGATAGTCTGATACAGAGGGAGAAAAATGAGTATGTGTTATTATATAGGGTATCTGAGTAGAGGAAAGACACTGTATTCTGATATTCCTTTGAAAATTGTGAGCATTTGATGGAGGTATTTAGATTGGACCTTTTGAAAACATGTTGTGTCACGGTCTCATGAACTCCCTTCATCACTTCCCCTAGGGAAAACTGGAGCTTTGGGGGTTTAAGAAAGGATATGGGTAGAGGGCAGGAGGTGGGGGGAACAGATTATATTCTCTTCTGGGCATATTTAATTCTTTTTTTTTCTTTTAGTTTTATGGTGGCTTTCTTGCCTTCTACTACAACACTCTTCTTATACAGCCCCATGATCTAACTTGAATGTGTATATCACTCACCATAGGATTGATAGGTAGCTACCTTTTCAGCTAGGCTGCAACCACAAATAGAAGGAATATATTTCAAGATTGTGTACAGAATCATCAGTATCCAAATACACTGTCAAAATATGAATGTTAATTAGAAAATGTGTATTGGTAAGAATTAGAAGGTTGGTTTCATAGGCTATAATTAAGTACAAAGTTAGATTTCTCCACTTAAGAGGAATAAATCTAGATTTTATCTGCAGAAAGTGATTTGTTTTTTTCCTCTACATTAATTTTTCATTTGAGCATGCTCCTATGTCAGGAGCTATGGAATATTGTTCCAGATCATTGGTGATAATGTGAATTATTCTCTAATAAGATGTTGCATTTGTTATTGTTCATGCTATTCTGTAACCTTCCATGAAGGGTTATAGAATGATTTGGGGTTATTTTAGCTAAAATGGATATGTCTCTCTTTGGTCATCAGTTTCCTCATCTGCAAAATGAGGGCAGTGAATAACCTCTACCATGAATCCATGCTTGAATCCTTTAATGTCCAATGGCTTAATTTTAGGTATATGAGTGGTTAAAAAAAAGTTCACTGGTTTCCTCATTAAAAAGAAAGGTATATTTATTCAAGAAAAAATCTACCACATTATGAGAATGCTTTTCATGTACCTTTTTTTCACAAGCCAAAGGGGCCTATGGGATTGTCTTCTCTGGAGAGCTTTTAAAAATAGGCCCGTTCTCAGTTGCTTTAGATGTGTTGGCTGTGCTTCTAATAAAGTAAGGGAACTGCCAGTGGTTCTGGCCTGAATCTTCTATGATAGATTTGACATTGGGATATTCAGTGCTAAAACACCATCTCATTGTTGGAAACATTAATTCCCATCTGAGGAAGCATAGTGTAATGGAAAGTATGCTATCCTTAGAAAGAAAATTAACTGAATTCACATCCCAGTGCAAATATTTACTGGCTGTGTAACCACTATCAAGTCATTTAACTTTTATAAAACTCAGTTTTCTCTTCTGGAAAATGGAAATAATAATAATTATACTACCTACCTCATAATGTGGTTGTGAAGTTAGTGTTTCAAGTGTAGTTTAAATCAGGAGTGCTTAACCTTTTTTTGTACTATGGACGCTTTTAGTATTCTGGTAAAGCTGTGGACCTTTTCACAGGATATTTTTAAATAGATAAAATAAAATACATATGTAACAGTAACTACTTTGACTCTCTTACTGCCGAAAAGCCAGGTGTGTTATATCTTACTCCTTACCCCAAGGTTCCATAGTACCCTGGTACCCTTAAGGGAGTATGGGAGTGTCTAAGTTCTCTGCCATTGGCTCAAGCTTCTGATGATGGTGTTCCCTCATTATATGGGGGTTCCCTATAGCCCAAGTTCCATTTAATCACTAATAATCAAATCCGCTTTTACAAAAGAATATTTACTTCAAAGGTATAATAACAAATATACAAGCATGCTTCTCAAAACATTGAGACTTGGAGCATTGTTCCCTACCCTGCCCCCACAGTCACTACCTTTTACTCTGGACATGAGGAGTAGATTAGGTTCACAGCTTGGCTCGTGCTCTACATAATGCAGTCCCAAGGTCCAAGTCCAAGGACCCTCTTGGGCACACGTCCCAGGTACCCTGGCTACTTGAGGCTCTCCTGATGGGGCAGGCTGCGCATCCAGCCTTGAATCCTGGCTCCAAGGTCACCATAAATTGGTTCTACCTCTAGTGGAGATTCTACCTCCTGCATCTAGAAGTAAAAGGAGCAAACTAAACAGAACACACAGAAACCCCAGGCCTATTTCTCAGAGCCACTGGCCTAAAAAAAAAGGGGAAGGGGAACTTCCCCCAAACTCAGTTAGTTTTCATGATATTGGTGAACCTTCACCCTATCTGGGCATCAGGCAGAGAAGGGTATCTCAGTCTGACAGTTTTAAAGCCTGTTCTGGCTATGCAGCCAATCGAAAGAGGCTACTCCCACTCTGTGATAGGGAAACACAGGGTGTCTTCTTCCAGAAGCCTCCCCAGTACCTTCATGTCAGGTGATCTAAAGCTACTATTATACATAGGAAGAAAAAAAAACCAATTATACTGAAATAAAGAGGTAATTTTAGTCATTTAAGTTCATAAACCCTCTGGAAGCTATCTACAGATACTGTCATAGTTGTCATGCCAAAATATAGCTCTGTCCTCTGATTTGCTTCATTCACTAACAATTTCACTTAAGATTTATTCCCAGGGAAGACTTAAAGAGAGCTTCTGGTTCCTTCTCTTGTCTTCAAGGAGGACTATGCCTAAAACCTCCTGAATTAGTAACTGTCCCAATATTAATGACCTCCAGAAATAAAGATTCTGTATATTCTAGTTTAACAACACTTATGGTTAGTAAATTCTTTCCTAAATTGAATATAAATGCTTCATGTTTCTTATTTGATATAGGTCAAAGTTGGTGACAAAGAATGTGAAATCATGGATTCGTTTAAACTTTATATTACAACGAAGCTACCAAACCCTGCATTCACACCTGAAATTAATGCTAAAACATCCGTCATTGATTTTACCGTTACAATGAAAGGACTGGAGAATCAGTTACTGAGAAGAGTAATTCTTACAGAGAAACAGGTAATCCATCTCTTGTTAAGAACATCCACTTGTAATAAAATGGACATATTTGGAAGAAAATATACTGAAAAAAACTAAATATATAGAAAAGCAAAAAGTATTTTAAGTCAAACCTTATTGCCTACTGTCATTTAGAAATATTTCTCTTCCAATCTCTATACCGGCTAAACAGATTTTCCATTTACCTCTGCTTCCTTCGTCTGCATATCACCCTCCCAATGTTTGTGTAGGTTGACTCCAGTGCCTGGGACATCCTTATTCAGATGAATTCCTCCATGGCACCTAGCACCTTCACCATAACAGGGTCCTTGGGAAAAAAATTGCCTTTGAATTGGTCTTATAGCTATCTTTGTAGGTTCCATTTCCATTTTTTTCATGTGGGATACATAATAGTACATGTATCTAATGATACAGGTATGTCTGCCCTTTATTTTAAATCAATAGAATTTAGATCAGACCTGGAAACATTTTTCATCTCAAGTGTCACTGACCCACAAGGAAAAAAAAAACAGTTGAAGACTACAACAAAGTAAAAATCAAATTCATAGAAATAGGATTAAATTCATCTTTTTTTTTAAGAATTGGTAGAGGGAGGGGAAGGGAAAAGAAAAGGAAGAAAGGGAGATAGAGGAGAAAGTAGGAGGGAGGACGAATAAACAATCACATAAAGGAAGAGAAAGATATGTAAAGAGCTCTGAATGACAGAGAAGTAAAAGAGACAGGCAACAAGCAGAAAGACAGAGGAAGAGGATCAGTAGAGTTTTAAATGGTCAACAGGTTGGTTTTAAAAAAAAGAACTTTACTAGTTTTAGGAGTTGGTTAGCTCTCTTGGAAGTAGGAGTCTGAAAAGTGGGTGCCATAAGAGAGAACACTGGACCAGAGTCCAAATAGGGTCCAAAGGCCCAAGTCCTTGTTCCTGCTCTGCTCCTCACTAGTTGTATGACCCAGGTAAGGCAGTACACCACAGTTTCCTCATCTGTTAAATGATAGGAGTAGATTACAATGTTGATATGTTATATTCAAGCTCTAAAATTCTATGATTTTACATCAGGGCATTCTACAAAATATAATATAAAACTTCATATTGATTAATAAAAACCTATCTTGTTTACTGACCATATTTTGACTGCTAAAAATGGGAGAAAACCTGCTCAATGAATTAGAAAGTAGGGGAGGGAGATAGAAGGGAGGGTAGATTAGGGGAAGGGGTATTCAGAATGCACTCTGTCTTGGAGTTGGGGGGAGGGATGAGGTGGGGAGAAAATTTGGAACTCAAAATCTTGTGGAAGTGAATGTTGAAAACTAAAAATAAATAAAGAAAAAGAAAAGAAAAAAAAGAAAGTAACATTTAAAAACAAGAATGAAGGGAATGATTCTAGCTTGCAATTTATATCCTCAGCCTTGCATCTCAGAGACTTGGATCAGTTAAAAAAAAAACAAATTTAACATCAGCATCACTTACACCATAGTGTAATAGATGCACCATAGTGTAATAGGAAGAGCTGGCCTTGGTGTCAGAAAGACCTGGGTTCAAATTCTGTGTCACACATCCTAGCTGTGTGACCCTGGCCCAGGCACTCGCCCTAGTGACCCTAGTGCTGTAGGCTACCCAGTGCTCTAAATTGTAAGTTGTAGAAATATGCTTTCCTATACTGAGAGAAGAAAGTCCTCCCTGGGAGTTCTCTACATCAGTGAAATCACAGGTCCAGACTCCATCCCATGGTTTCATTGACATCATAAAAGAATGTAGGACTTATCACTCTAACTCAGGAAAAAACAGAGGATAAAAATTATTTATGATCTTGGTCAGCCCTGTCATGGGAAAATAAAGCCAAAACTACCAGGTAGCCCCAAACTAAATATTTTTAATTATATAGGCATCATCTCTGATCTTCTGATCTTCATCACTACCATCATTAAATATATATTGAGCATCAGCTTTATTTATGGTGTTCTGCTAGACACTGCAGAACAACATATGGCACAGTGTAATGGGGGGGAAACCCCAAACACTTAACTAGGAGTAAGAAGACCTTGATTTTAGTCTCAGCTCTGCCACTAAATAGCTGTTACTTTGAGCAAGTTACAGCCACTTTGGGCTTCATCTATTAAATGAGGAATTTAATGAGGCTCCCTCCAGCTCTAACATTCTTGGATCTGTGATGCTTTTTTCTCACCCTGCTTTTCATTCTTGAATTTTGAGCTCCATTATGTTAGCATTGACCTTTGAAATTCTAATTATCTAATTAACTATAACTCTTCAACAGCTCTTTATCCTCGAATCTTCTAAGACTCCATTCTAAGGAGGGGATAGCAGGTCACCAGAGGGCAAGTTATTCTCTGAGTTGAACAGGCATGAGATGGAGCAGAAACATCACAAGTTCCCCACTGTGTTTTAAAATTTACAAGATCGACAAAATAACGAACTAATTCATTTTATATTTCCTGAAGCTTCGAAATTAGAGTTGTTCAAGGATTTCTGTAGCCACAGCCCTTTTCAATTCCTTGTAGCATTTCTTGTATTCATCCCTTTGTACTCCCTCTCTCTGCTATAGTCTTAATCTAAATAACCATATACACTAGAAAGAGCATCAGAGCAGGGGTCATAGATTGAGAGATTTAGAGCTGGAAAGGACCTCAAAAGCTATGGAGGCCAGTGCTCCCCTCATCTTACAGATGTGAAAACTGAGGCGCAGGGAGGTTTAGTGATTTGTCCAGGGTCATATAGCCAGTAAGTATCATATCTGGGATCTTCCTGACTTCACTATGCCTCATTTCTTCTCAATCAGGTCCAAGGTCTAGGCCTGGGTCTACCACTTAGTACTTGGGTGACTTTGAACAAGTTATTTCCTATATCTGTAGCTCAAGTCATTCATCTGTAAAATGAGTGGGCTATACCAAATGATCATCTCTATAGTTTGGTTCCTTCCCGCTCTGAACTCCTGTGATTCTGTAATATATCTAGACTATTAAAGTCTTTGTGCTGACCTCCTTATGTCCAGCCTTCCCCACTCCAGTCTGTTCTATAAACAGAAGCAAATATCATCTGCCTTATGTCCCATTCGATCATTTCCCTGTCCTGCTGAGAAATCTATAGTGGTTTTAATCACTTCCCTAGTATGGGATTCAGTGACCTCCCTTATCTGACTATCTTAATTTTTCATAATTAATTTGAACTCCTTACATCGATGAAGCAAACATTACATCCCCTAAATAAGATTTATTTGCTTCCTCTTCTGTATCTTTGCATGTTGTTTCATTCCCTAACATTCTCCTCTCAAAACACATCCCTCTATTCTTTTAAAAAATTCTGCCTAGAAGTCTCCTGTCCCATGAAAACTTCTTTGACTAAGTTTCTCTGACTTCAGTTCCATTCCCTCTGTCAACCTTATGAGCCACTCAGTGTAAATAGTTCTATCCACTTGTATTATTCTATTATTGAATCTGCATTTTCCCAAACATGATATTATATTTGTGTCTATATTTGCTTTATTTCTGTATTCCATTGTGAGCTTCTGGAAGGAAGGCATATGTTTCCTATTTTTTTTTTTTTTGCTATCTTCATAGTATATGTCACAGGGTTATTTATATAGTACCAAGATTCTCAGTGAAGTCATTGGCTGACTGAATGGATGGCTGAATGAGTGAAGGGTTAATCTGGGAAGGCTTTATGGCAGTTTATGTTATATAGCATTATTTAAGAGAATCTGAATCTAATAAGTGGGTGCTCATTTAAAGAGAACAGGAAAGAAGCCCATTGAAGTACACAAATGAAATAAAGTCTAGACAAAACAACCTGTGAGACATAATTTGTAGTTGTACTAGACAGGAGCATAGAGCGAATCAGGGCTAAGTTGAAGGCCCAAAGCCTCCGATTTGGCACCTTAGGCTCCTCACATCCAGAGAAACTTATGCCCAGGATTAACCTTTGCCTAGGGACAAGGCAGCTCTGTGTTTGTGGGTAGAAGGCCTAAGTGAGCAAGATCAGGAAGGAAAAGCCCATGAGAAATGAATAGGGGCTCCTAAGCAGGAGAGCCAGCTCAAGAAAGCTAGGGAAAACTTGTGTCATACTTGACTCATGCATCTCAATGGGCACACAATGTCAAGCATTAGATGTGGGCAGTTCAGACAGATAAGGAGATAGAGATGGATTTGTTGATTATATTAACCATTTCTGCATTTATGAAACATACTTTAGTACATTTGGGTATTTGAAAATATTGGTTGATGATAAACATTAATGAGTCAGATTTACTAAAAAATTAATGCAGCTTTTTTACAACTGTCCTACTTTTTGATGGTTAAAAATAGGAACTGGAGTCAGAGAGAGTTAAACTTATGGAAGATGTTACTTTTAATAAGAGGAAGATGAAAGAACTAGAAGATAACCTACTGTATAAACTAAGTGCAACAAAAGGTATTGTCTTGTAATAGATTCAAAATAAACATTTCTTGTAAGATCTTTTCTATGTCCATGAAATGGTAACATTAAGGTTCAGGCCATTGAGGGTGCTGGAGAAGAGATACTAAAACACATCTCCTTCCTAACAACAGAGAGGTGAGGGTCTTACTAGAGGCAACTGGTGACACAGTGGACAGAGTGCCAAGTATGGAGTCAGGAAGACCTGAGTTCCAGTCCAGCCTTAAACCCTGGCTAGCTGTGTGATCCTGGGCAAGTCACTCAATTTTTATTTGTCTCAGGTTTCTCAACTGTAAAATAGGGATAAAAATAACACTTGTTTTGCAGGATTGTTGTGAGGCTCAAATGAGATGGTATTTGTGAACGCCCTTACCACAGTGCCTGGCACAGAGTAAGAATTGTGTAAGTGCTTGTTCTCTTCCTACTAGGACAGACTGCTGTATACATTGTCAGATAGAGTCTCTGCATCATATGTGTTTGCTTAATTGTTTTTCTTTGTCACATTGGCCTTTTTTTAATCTGGAGATGAAATGGGAAATGCATGATGTAAAAGCAAAAGATATCAATAAAAGTTTTTTTTAAATAACAAAAATGAAAGAAAGGCTCAAGTTATATCTTTGCAGTGACAAGAAAAGTAGTTTTCATCTCAACATTGAAAAGTGACGCTATGTAGGATCTTTTTAAATGAACAGAAATTAGATGCTTGTAATAACGCTTTTCTTGATTGAATTGTTGTCTCCATCTCAGAGAAATAAGGAACCCAGTGAATCTAGGTGTAAGGGGTAAGCTCATGAAGCATATTCTTTGGCTTTTTACACTCCTTCAGCTTCATAATCCTCTTAGTGGTGATACAGTTATCCTCCAAGAATTGCTAGAGTTGCAACAGTTATCTTATGCTGGCCATCTAGCAGCAAAATTGACGGACCCCAAAAGTCCTGAACTCAGTAGGTGGCCACCAAATTGTAAAAGTCCACCTTTTGGGATTGCCATTCAGTCACAAGCAGGGACTTGAATTCCAGTCTTAGGCTTACTGTTAACATGGTCCCCAGTGAGGAGATACGTAAGCACCAACTGGGACCTCTGGTCAGGCATGTCCTTGAGCAAGGTGCCAAAGTCCTATCTATCTCCCAAATAGTTAACATACATGCACCATGGTATCACCCCTCCCACATGGGTAATTAATAATTAGTTTCTCTTTTCTGTCTAGTTTCAATCTACAACTCTTAGAAGATTATACTGTGATTCTGAAAAAAAAAACAGTACTGAGGTTACATTATAATTATTTTGTCATTATTTATATCAGATTTTCGAGGGTATTCTCTTCAGCCTACCTATGCTTATGCATAGAACTGTGTATGCATACATTTTACTGATAGGAGTGATTTTCTGCCACCATAAATTTGGGAACAGGCATGGAAGGAATCTCTTTCCCTCTCATGGCATTTGATAGTGCACTGTCTTCCCAAGTTCAAATCTAAATGTTCGTTTTTGTCCACCACAAAAATCAGTCCCAAGCTGGTTCATGACTTTTTTTTAACTCCTTGTTGTGATGATTGATTTTTATTGAGCACTTATTAGCATAATGTACCTTGAGAGGCTTTATCTCACTGAAAGAGTTAAAACAAAGACTTGTTATCTAGATGATTCTTACCATCAAAGGCAGACAATAACCGTGCTGACAAGAACATTAGGATATGTTTAAAAATGCATAAATAAGTAAAATATGTATAATACTTATAATGGAATATGTGTAGTTGGTGGAATTATGAGTGAAAAGCATTTGCATAATTAGGAAAAAATGATTCCTCTACCCTTCCTATGCTACTCTCTAGACAGTAATAAGAAGAGAAAAGCTGTGAAATAGAGGAAGTTGAGAGAAGGTTTGGAAGAAAGCTACTAATAAACCAGTGAAAATCTTAGGAACAGTACAGGTGCCTAATATACACTAACATTTATATAAAGCAGCTAATCAAGTCCCCTAGCTTTAACCACAAAAGCTAATTCTGATGCTTACACTTCAGTACTTTTATTATGAATATCAAATTTCAAAATTAGTAGAAAAGACATTTCCCTCGGTTCTTCCAGTGTGGGTTTTGTGAAATACCCAAATTTCAAATGATCTTATCACACACAGTCCAATGGAGCACATTTCTTAAATTGATAAGGATGATGGTGATGGATTCTGTCTAAACGTTGGGACAACTACAGCACAAATGTGATAGAAAGCGGGCTACCTCACATTAAGGCCATTTCTTTTTGTCATCTTACATTTTTTCCTGTTTGACTCTTAGGTTCTTTGGTGGACGATGAATCTCTCATTGGTGTTCTCCGGACAACCAAGCAAACAGCTGCTGAAGTAAGTGAAAAGCTGCATGTGGCAGCAGAAACAGAGATCAAGATAAATAATGCTCAGGAAGAGTTTCGACCAGCTGCTACACGAGGGAGCATTCTCTACTTTCTTATCACAGAAATGAGTATGGTCAATATCATGTACCAGACATCCTTGGCACAATTCTTGAAGTTATTTGATCAATCCATGGCCAGGTTGGAACTTGATTATTATTTTTCCTACTCAGAAGCAATAACTTAAAATTGATTTATAGATAGATAGATAGATAGATAGATTGATTGATTGATTGATTCACTCTTTTATAAATTGCTTTTTGTTTCTTTAATTTTTAATGTGATTTTTAGGTCTGAAAAGTCTCCCTTGCCTCAAAAGAGAATTGTAAATATTATTGAGTTTCTGACTCATGAAGTTTTTGTGTACTCAGTCAGAGGCCTATATGAAAACCACAAATTCCTTTTTGCCCTCCTTATGACCTTAAAGATTGATCTTCAAAGAGGAACAGTTAAACATAAAGAATTTCAGGCCCTTATTAAAGGTAAATTTTTCAAAATTAAAATGTATTATCTACAGGAAGTTATTCTTGATCTCTTTTTAGCATACCATAACTCCATTTTCTAAACAACATAAAAGTACAGTGAACTTGTATTCATATGCAATTAAAGAAGATTTTGCTACTGATTATTTAATAATAACTGACATTTATACAACAATCTTCATATATATCCTTTGAGTCTCAAAAAGACCTGGTGATATAAGTAGAACAGATGACATTATTCCCATTTTATTGCTAAAGAATGTGAAACCTATCATTAAGTACCTTGCCTAAGACCGTACAATTAGTAAGCATCAGAGATTGGAATCTCAGTTGTTTCTAACTCCAGGTTTCTAATACACCATATTCCCTGATGTAACACATGTGAAAGATTTGTTTTACATTCTTTTGTACTAGCTAGAGAACAAAATCTATTTCTATCTGATGTCTCATAAACTACCATGATAGTTCTTTGTCACTGATGCACAAATCTGAACTGTAAGCTATATGTTACCTATATCAACCAGCTTTGGTAATAGTTAGCCATCTATTTGCCTAGGGTAAGGAACAATTTTTGCCACCAAATAGAAAAAGAATGTCAATGTCAGTAATTATGTTTTAAGCATCATTTCGTTGGGAATGGGTGGATTGGTAATATATATATATATATATATATATACACACACACACACACACACACACACACACACACACACACACACACA